CCATGTGTATAAAAGGAGGCCCTCTCCACCAGAAAGTTTGCTCAGAATTTTCCTCCAGTTTTATATTCTTCCTAGTGAGAGAGTGTTGTTTGAGTTTTGTTCACGGAAGCTACACTGTAGGTGCTTGGCTATAGCTGGTCTAATCATCGTATCTTGGGAGACAGACGTTGAAGAACCTCCAATTCCAAGTCGGTGATATGGTGAATCTGTTTTAAGGATACTGTCTAGTGCAAGCTTTGTTTTGCGTTATTTTAAGCCATTTTATTTTATTATGTATTCATGTCAATCTTTTAATTTTAAGCATGTTGTTTTCCTCTTTCAAATGTAGATTGGTAATTATGAATCTATTTATTTTATTTAAGTACATAATTTTGAGAATCGTTCTTACGATTTAGTTAGTTATTAGCGGTTCACACTGAACCGAACCTTTTTTTTTTAAAAAAAAAAAGAATCAATCATATACGTACATTTTATAACTTATCATTTACTTTCTCGTCCCAGTCTCTCTTTCTTAACTCTTCATCTTTGTCAAAATTGGGTGCCTTTATTTACGCACCACCTTTCATCTCAAGGCACACTATTACTTAGTTTATTTTTTATTATAATATTAACCTAATGTAAAATGACCACAAAGGACAAAGGGTTATGATACACACCTTATATAATATACACCAATTACTCATTGCACACTACACTCAATTTTGATTTTTTATTTTTCACTCAATACACACTATCAATTTTTAAATATTCCCAAAATATCCTCATCTTCTCCAACCATAACCATAACCCTAACCCTAACTCTACCTTGCAGTCGCCGCCGCCATCAACCATTGCCGTCAGCCATCCTACCTCTTTCTACCACCGCTAACCTCCGACCAACACCATCCCCTCAACACTCCACTGCCGTCGCCATCGTCGTCGCCGTCCCAACGCAGATCTTAATGATCAAACATGGCCTAATTGGCTTATAGTTTTTATTTCGATCTTCTTTTTAAAGTTGTTCTAGTGAGTATAACCAATCTTGTATTTTTGTTTATTTTTACTCTTGCTGTAAGAATGTTCTTTTGGTTGGTCACTACTGCTTTCTTGTTCTTATGGATGGTCACATCTATATAACAAAAAAAAAAAAAACAACAACAACCAAATCAACAAAAAAGTAAATAAAATGTGTTCGTTTCTGAGAGTGAAAATTGTAGAGGAGCTTCACATCCGGTGACCATGCTCTTTTAAACTGATTCAATGGAATTTGTGGTGAATCAACGTCGACGAGGGTGAGAGACTAATCATGAGAACAATTGGCAAGTTTGACCCCAATACCATAGATTAAAATTGTTTAAAGGCATTACCAGCACAACTCTTCCCCCTTATCACAAGGGACGTTCAAAAAAATCGATAGAACAGATAAATTGGTCCAAATCAAACTGAACTGTACGGTAGTTTGGTTTGGTTCAGTGCGTATCGTTCAGGTTCCAATTTGGAAAAAGTTGAGAATCGTTCTTACGGTTTAGTTAGTTGTTAGCGGTTCACACTGAACCGAACCTTTTTTTTTTAAAAAAAAAAAGAATCAATCATATACATACATTTTATAATTTATCATTTACTTTCTCGTCCCAGTCTCTCTTTCTTAACTCTTCATCTTTGTCAAAATTGGGTGCCTTTATTTACACACCACCTTTCATCTCAAGGCACACTATTACTTAGTTTATTTTTTATTATAATATTAACCTAATGTAAAATGACCACAACGGACAAAGGGTTATGATACACACCTTATGTAATATACACCAATTACTCATTGCACACTACACTCAATTTTGATTTTTTATTTTTCACGCAATACACACTATCAATTTTTAAATATTCCCAAAATATCCTCATCTTCTCCAACCATAACCATAACCCTAACCCTAACTCTACCTTGCAGCCGCCGCCGCCATCAACTATTGCCGTCAGCCATCCTACCTCTTTCTACCGCCGCTAACCTCCGACCAACATCATCCCCTCAACACTCCACCGCTGTCGCCATCGTCGTCGCCGTCCCAACACAGATCTTAATGATCAAACATGACCTAATTGGCTTATAGTTTTTATTTCGATCTTCTTTTTAAAGTTGTTCTAGTGAGTATAACCAATCTTGTATTTTTGTTTATTTTTACTCTTGCTGTAAGAATGTTCTTTTGGTTGGTCACTACTGTTTTCTTGTTCTTATGGATGGTCACAACTGCCTTCATGGTCATTTTTACTTTTTTATCAGCTTCATGGTCATTTATCTTCTTGTTTCTTTTACACTATCATTGGATAGAAAATTGAGATGGAAATAAGTTAGTTAAAATATTCATATTCATATTTCTATTTTCTTTTTTTTGGTTCTTTTTTTTGTATGGTACCCAACTAAAAATGATGAATTTTTTGATAATTATTTCTTCTCTTTTTTCTTACCAACTCAATGGAAGATTGAAGATTGCAGGTGGGGTATGTGAGTAAGTACGGGTAAAGATGAAAGATTGTGGGTTGGGTGTGTGAATAAGGGTAAAAATGGAAGATTGTAGTGTCTATTGCTAAAGGTGTGCCTTGAGATGAAATGTGGTGTGTAAATAGAGGCACTCGTCAAAATTAGGAAACCTTGAGGTAGAATGAAAAAATTGCCCTTGTCTCTTTCATTTTTCTCCAAAAGACCATAGTTTCTTTCTTAACTGCTCTTCTTTACTACTCACACTTCTCCTGATCAGCCCTAAGATTTCTCTAACCCTTCCTCACCTATTGTAGCACCTTGTAAAATGTGTAGTAGCAGAAGAGAGGACGTATGAAGTGGCAACAAGAAAGGGTTAGAGGTTTGGGTCATCTACAGTGTTGGGTTGGGTGAGGATGAGCTGGAGGTGGCCGATGTAGTTGGAAGAGTGACAGTAGTTAAAGGAATGACAGGGGTAATGTAAATGAGTGGAAGGAGGTAGAGAAGTGTCAAGGGTGGAGAAGTTAGGTGGAGGACAGTGGAGAAATGGTAAGAGTTGTGAGGGAGGCAGAGGAATTGGTAGAAGTGGCGATTAAGGAAGAGATTGGGGAGTTTTAAAAAGATGTTTAAGTGATAAGGGCTTTTGTCATTCAAAACAAAATTCTCATATATTTGTAATTTTTTTGTTTTTTTTTTTTTTTTTCCAGCTTTTCACTTGTATTGTAAGTTATGAAAAACATCCACCGATTTGCAAATGCTTGCCCTATTTCCCACCTGTAAGTTATCTCCCTAAAACACTTGGGAGCCAAATGACAGTTATTGGCTACGAAACACAGATATTCCAAAAAATGTGTCGTACGAGTATCAGATACAAATATGGATACGTTTTCGATACGATGGGATACATATTAGATTTATTTTTTTAATTTTTTTTTTTTCAATTTTGGATAGAAAAGGAATACGCGAAGGACATTAGAGAGATATGATAGGATACGGGAGGATACGCGAGGGATACGCCAAATAAGTATCATTTTTTTTTCTTATTTTATATTTATATTTATATTTGCTCATAGGTCAATGCTTTCTCCCTCTTTGTCCCTCTCTTTTTATATCTTTTCACATTCTGTGGGGCTTATATTGTGATTATCTATTCCCTTGTGATAGACCAATGTATACTTTTTAGCTTTACTATAAGGGCTACTCACGTGTTAAAAAAATCGCATTCTTTCTATTTTTTAATTCTTTCTATTGTTGTTTTATTTATTTATTTTTTTAACTTTGAATATTATGACTTAGTTCTATCGTTATCATTGCTTAATTTGGTTAGCTTATTGTTGCTCTTTCTGAATATTTGATTGAATCATTTGTTATTATTTGTTATTAATTATTTGTCAGTATGCCTGGTTATTAATTGATTGTCAATTGATGAATATAAAAAATTATTTTTTTGATATTAAGGATTTTATTACTAAATATTTTATGAATGTACTCTTGCATTATATTTTATTATATAGTACATTACTAAAAATTATAAAAGAAAATTTTCTTTTACAAATGTATCTTTACTGTACCCGTATCCTATTTTTAAATTTTTTTATTATATCACTGTATTCATATCATATCATATCCGTATTCTTGGTTATTGGCACTCCTATTTGTGTTACCAGTTATGGCTTATGTCAATTAAGGTACTATGGAAGGCTATACGTTAAATCAATTTAAGGCACTAGGAAAGGCTGTATGTTAAATCAATTAAGGTACTAAGAAAGGCTACATATATTTGTTTAGTTTAATGAAAAAAATAATTAAAAAATTTATATTTCTTTTTATGATTTTCAATTTTTATTTTTTGTTTTTGTTTTAGGGAAAAATATGTCTTACCATTTATTTGGTCAAATTAATTTCTATTTTAAAACTATTTCAAACAGCGTGTATTTCCATCAAGTCTAGAAAGTTATTTTCCAAAAATTTTCTTAGATTTGTAGTATCAGTTGTCGGAATTTTGGAATGCTAAACTAAACAAACAACCTAATTTAGTCAATTATATATATATATATATATATTTGGTGAAGAATCTTGTCTTCATCAAAGTTGGAACGTCGTGTATTCCCCTAGTTCACAATAATTTTATCAATACAAAACCAATCATAAAATAAACTATAAAAAATAAATAGAATAATTTGACTAAAATGGTCATTTTGAATAGTGGGCATGCTGTCTTATGCGAATAGTCACCGTTGTTTTTTATGCTCAATCTTATGGTTGGTTCTGGATCTATAGAATTATTGGCCTAGCCGACAGCCATTGGGTGATGATGATGAAACAAATAATCAGAAAAAAAAAATGAAATAAATACATAACATAGCATAAGAATACATGCATGCAGTAGTAGTACTGTACATATAATCGCCAACCACCTTCAAACAATTGAATCCATATGAAGAAGAAAAAATATATAAATACAGAAATTAATCAGAGAATCGAATCATGAGTCTGCTGATTCTGTGTTTGGTATCTATATAGGCAGAAGGACTGTTTGAAGAGAGCATACCTTGGAAGATCACAGCCGTGCGGTTGCCACCGCCATTTGCGATAATCAAGGTCTCGCCGGCCACTTTGCTGGCATCTGAAGCCTGGATCAAGAAACGGGCAGTCCTCAGAATAGTATCGGAGGGCGTAGGTTTCGTCCCAAACCCATTTACCATTGGAATAATCACAGACTCCTCCTCCTGATGATGATAGCGGTGGTGGTAATGGTTTTTGAGTTTTGGGAAGGACTGGGGACAAGAAGCCAATGCCAAGAAGAGACTGTGGATGCTGGAAACGACTTGTGGTGTTGAAGAAGGTGATGGTAATAATGAGAAAAGAGAGAAAGCACAATGCATAGGTCGCTTCTCTCTTTGTAAGATAGGGAAAGAGAATAAATTGTAGCTTTTGTGGTACTACTGGTATGGGTTGTTGATTATCTGGCACAGAGGGTTGCAGATCCATGAGAAGAGGAAGGAAAGATGGTTTTTTTATTTATTTATTTATTTATTTTATTTTGAATGGTTCTACTTTTGTGCTGTTCCGAGAGAGAGAGATTTTAGATGTGTTGTCTATTAAATAATGGAATAATTAAATTGATAATTTTGGGGGGGCATTAATTGTTTGTTGCCATGTATAGATCACTGCCTTTTCTGGAATAATTAATTGGATTTGGACATGTTTTCTGTATTTCATTCAATCGGATTGGATTTGGAAAAGTTTTTTTTTTCTTATATTACTGTTCACATTTCTTGCTCTTTCCACGCCTGTCTACTTGCAAGAATTAAGGCATGCTTTACGAAGGTCAAACTTCCTCAATAATCCCTCTCTGTCTCTATGAAGGTCAAACTTCCTCAATAATTCCTCTCTCTCTCTCTCTCTCTCTCTCTCTCTCTCTCTCTCTCTCTCTCTCTCTATGAAGGTCAAACTTCCTCAATATTTCCTCTCTCTATATATATTTCATAGAGAAAAGATAAGGATCATGAAAATTTTTTCATGAAACTGGTCATGAAAAATTTATGACCATTGGATTACCTTAATTAGTGTGTGGTGTTTTATTTTAAGTGTAATCCAAGGATCATAAATGTTTCATGATCATTTTCATGAAAGTTTTTTCATGATACCTAGCATTGCTCTATTTCATATAAGGTAAAATTCACTTAAAAATCACATGCGATTTGGGCTCGGAGCAATTTACCTCGGAGCAATTTACCACATTGCATTTAAAAATCACCAATAAGGCTCCTTATGATTTTGACTATTTTATATTTTACCTCCTCATTGTTATTAATTCCGTTTAAATTGACGGGGAGTGTTTCACACTTATCAAAATTAAAAGTTGGCAATAAAAAAATTAGAAGTCAACATCAAAATTCAATATTAAAAGACAAACATGCCCTTCACCTTTGTTTTCTTCTCCGACTAACGAAAAACTCAAACTCAAACTCAAACCCTAAGCCTAAGCCTAAGCCTAAGCCTAACCCTCCTCCTCCACCAGCTATCCACCCCTCTTGTGGCCACCTTTCTTCTCTTCCTACCACCGTTTGTCCCCACTCGGCAGCCCCATTATTCTTCCCAACAACCTGCTGCAACATTTTCTCTATTTCTCTCCTAGCCTTTGTAATCAATTCAACTGGAAGAGTATATAAATCTTTGCCACCTTTCTTCTCTTCTCACCATCATTTGTCCCCACTTGGCCGGCCCATTATTCTTCCCAACAACCTACCGTAACATTCTCTGTCATCAAGTCGACTGGAAGAGTATATAAATTTTGCCCCAGCCCCAATCTGGCTAGCAGAATAGTTCATCTTGACTAGATTTTCAAGTGAATAACTTGCAATTTCGACAAATAGTATTTCTTGAATTATGGGAAGACATCTCGACCAAGATAAAAATTGGGAAAATTGGACTAATCTACAAGATCCAAAACTTAGAGAAAGATTCTTACTGTTGTCTAAACTTTGTAAATTCTATTAAAGCCCTCACTTTTGGATTATTATAATGAAAGCCCTCAGTTTCTCTTTTATTCGTAATTTTAACTCTAGAACCAAAAGCGCATCGTGGACGAAACCATGCAAACCTTAATCGATCCCGATAGCTTAGTAATCGTTCCTAACACTCGAATATTAATTATTTAACTATTTGAGTATAGATTAACAACTCAGAACCCTAGTTTCTGATTTTAACAATTTTCGTTCAGTTATTCACCTTTTAATTCAAAACGAAGTAACTCAAATCGAATTATTTTTCCTATCACTATACTAATTAATTCTATACTTGAAATAGATATTTTAATTCATAAATTTAACCCATGCCCTCACTCTTTATTAAAATTGCACGTAAGCCTCGAATTCATTATAATATATACAAAAGTATGCCCCATTATAATAATCTTTTTCATAAAATATCTACAACAAGAATATATGAATTTGTACACAAAAAGAAAATGAAAATTTTCTAAAATCCAATGCACATGGCCAGCCACCCCTTGTATATATGTTGTGTACTCTTAAAAACAAAGTTCATGAATTCATGGAAGAAATTTTGACCAAGGACTATAAATCATGGAATTGTGTTGTACTTGATTTCAATCTAGTTCTATATTGACTAACCTATAACTAAATCATGTTTTAACACGTAATTAGACATCCTTGAAAAATCTAAGGGATTCGTGATTCGTAATAGATTTAATTGCGATAAATCCCAAACACGTAAAACTGACAATCTAAATCAACTAGCGTGTACGAAAGTAATTTAGCTTGTAGTTTCACAATTAATAAATTGACACAAAAGATTTAATGTGAAAAAAAACCACAATTAGAACACCTCCAACTGTGATAAAAAAATCACAGGCTAACGACCACTAAACAATCCACTATGAAGATAATGAAATTACACGAGTACAAAAAATTACCTAACTCACTCTAGGAATGCCTTCCACCTCTTGTGCCTCTTTCATCTACGCCTTCGTCTCGGAATTGAATAACCCTGTGTTGAATCCACAACACATGAGTTGAATCCACAACAGTGAGTAGCTTTGAACTCCTTCAAAGCAATCAAGCTCAATCTTTGAAATCCACTAATGAGTAACTCTACGATGTGCAAATGGTAACAAGCTCCTTGATGTAACAAATTACTCCATGTGGGATAACAACCTCACCAAGATATCAAGGAAAACAATATATAGCAAAGTTGTCTAGCAATATGCTCCAGAGGTCTGGAGGCTGCAAACTTGGATGTAGAAGAGGCAACCCTAAAAGACAGTAAAAGAGGCCTTTTGTAGCAGTTTGGGTCGCACAAACCGCTCAAGTGAAGGAATGGTCGCTCGAGTAGTGAGTCTAATAAGCGCACGCATATGAGTCTTCGCACGAGCCACCAAAAGAGAGCCTAAATGCAAGCTCTCAGAAGTTTTACACAGGGCTTGAATTCCTGAGAGGCAAGATTTTTCACTCGAGCAATGAACTAATCGCTCGAGCGGTCCAAGAGAAAACAAAGGACAAAATTTACAATTGAAAAGTGATTGTCCACGGAATCGACAACATAAGGGACGTAACAATCTCTCCCTCTGTCAATTCCCGGACAAAACACATCTAATATCTAGTCCTAGAAAACGCACGCTCTAGACACAACCAACAACCTAACCATTCTACAATTGCAAAGGGAACAAATAACGCACAAACACTAGAATGGAGAGAAACATGATTAGCAGCAATAGATATGCCCAATAACAAAACCAAAAACATAACCATGCATGCTAGAATCATCATCAGAATCATATTCCCCATGTGTGGCCAGGAGAGAGAAAGGGACAAATGATAAACAAAATGCTGCCTAAAAAAAAATGATAGATACGAGAAGAAAACCATGTCTAGAAAAGAAAAATACAAAAATAAATGTCCAAGAAAGTTAAAAAGAACATCACTGATAGGGCGAAGGTGGAGGAGGTTGCTTCTGCATCTAAAGTAGAAACAGAATATGAGACAACTGAAGAGATAACTGGTCCATAGCATGCTCAATCCTTCCAAAGAAAGCTTCTTAAGCAATGAGACGCGCGTCTAGATCATTGATATGGGCTTCGTATCCATCCGAGCATCTAACCGATCAAAGTGGGCGCTGATGGCATGCTCCATTTGGAGAAGCTATCCCCAAATAGTCCAAACACGAGCAAGTTACTCCCCCTTACCAACTGCAGAGGCATCAAACTCTACGTCCTCAGCCATCTGATCCTCAGCTGTACCTAAAACACCGACCCCAGACAACTCCCTCCTAACATGGGCTTGACTTTTGGAAATGGTCTTTTTGGTGATAGGTTTGATAAGACAAGAAAACTCATCATCAGCGGAGGATGGGACAACAAGAAGGGTAAGAAGCCAGTTTAAAAGGCACCCATAGGGAAGACCCAAGGACTTCTTACCCTCGAACACAGAGATCATTTTGGAAACTATCATTTCAGGGAGATCAATGGTAAGATGGCAATCAATACAATAAAGAACATAACCCTAATCTTGAGAGATGTTTGAGTTATGTGTGGTGACATGGATATTGGCACAAATAATGATATTTAGAAGTCGAAAGCGGGGAAAGAATCTCATTTTGTCTAATGAGAGTCTTGGCAATCCAAGTTTGAGGAGTGCCACATAATTCAGTGGCAACTATGTCAAAGTTGGCATTGTGAGAAGCAAGGAAAGGAAAGTGATAATTATGGACTTCAGGAGTGCCAAGAAGAGACAGAATTACCTCATGATTAACAGTAACTTCCTTAGACCGAACCTAAGATTTGAAAAAGGGGACAACAGTATTTTCGCATGGAAGTTGCAATAAAATTCACGACCCAACTGAGGCTTTGTTGGCCAGAGAAGACAATAACATGGTCACAACCCAAGAAATCAAAGACAAAACAAATTGGGATCGACTCAAAAGTGTTAGGGTGGACATTAAGCTCTAGGTGGACAGTCCTAGACGCAGAAATCTCGATACATATTGGCTTTTTCTTTCGATGAAAATTTTTCCGTGTTATAAGTGGGATGAGAAATAGTGTCCTTGCGCTTTTTTGAGGATTCAACCATGGAAAAAAGCTGAAACACAGGGGAAAAACAAACAACCCATAGACCACACCTAGATAGGAGCCAACAAACAAAGACCCACAAAGACACACCCATCAACCCCAACAACAACCCACCATTAGTGATCAATAGGAAATAGACACACAAACAATATGCAACATTATATAGTGACCACAACACACTGTAACACATGAGAAAACAAAAAACAAATATACAACAAATAAAAGTATGATAGTTATGAGGGGAGAAAATTATCTAAAACAAATTGTCAAAACAACCAAATAAAAGACAAATACATAAAAACATAGATATATATATATATATATCTAAAACCCTAGAAACCAAAATAAAATAAAGTAGAAAAAATAAATAAATAAATAAATAAAATGAAAATAGAAGCAAGATCTAGAGTAATAAGAAAATAAAACAAACATTGAAACAATTGAACCCGAACTAGTCAACAATTAAACAAAAATTAGAAAAATCTATTTAGAAGAGAAATTGAACTAGGAAAGAGAAGAAAAATGGACAATGAAGAGAAGAGAGGAAGAAAGGCTTACCAAAAAGTAATGAAAATCACTTGACTAGGCGTGAATAAAAAAGAGAGCGAAAGGAAGGAAATC